AGGTCTAGGAGCACCAACAGGGTCACACTACCCCTGTCGATGCTCTGATGCAGATTGTCGGTTTAAGGCAACCATGGCAGTCTCAACCCCAAAGCCTGTCCTGAAGCCGGTTTGAAAGTGAACCTATGACAGGTAAAGTGAACCTATGACAGATTTTCTTGGCAAGATTTGTTCAAAAGAGGTTTGCCTTTGCCTCCCTCTGAGGCTGAAAGAGGGTGGCTTGCCAAAGGTCACCCAGTGGGTTTCCATGGCCAAGTGAGATTTGAACTCTGGTCTTCAGACTCATAGTCCAGTGCTCAGTCCACTACACCACATTGGCCTTCATGCTTTTATTAGAGGGTTAACTATTGACATTTAGTAGATGGTAAACTGAATAAATGAGAGAGTTTCTCCTCCCCCCCCCTTTTCATTTATATAATTGCTAGCGTAGATCAGATTTACACAGAGACATTTTTATTTCTATATCTTTGCAAATTAATATAACATTTTGATGGCGGGCAATATGAGAAATGCAAAATTCCATGCACAATCTGTGCTCTTCATTTCTCACTGCTTAAGCAGTATTTTAGCATTTTAAAAACTTGTGGGAGTACATCTTTGTTGCAGTAGTAACCTGCAAGTAGCTGGAAGTATGTTTGGACTGTTTGTCCCAGTGTTTTCTTACTCACACCCTATTAGCCTGCTACCAGTGTTCTGTTTTTCTTTGGCAGGCTGTTCAGAACACCATTTCCTCCTTTTCAACCGGGTGAAGTCCAATTGTTCTTTGCTTACACTGTATCAGCCTTTCCCAGAATTTTGCCTGGAGCTTGAATTCATGAGGGAGTCCCCAGTGTGTTTAGATTATAAAACTGCTTCCTGAAGCGATCTTGTTTGGTTGAGACCCTTTGATAATGCTGTCATACTGGATGGATGTTCTGTGTTTGTCTTCTCCATCCAACCAACCTCCCATTCTCCATTGTGCTGCTGGTTAACAGAAATTGGTTCCTATATAATCTCTCCCTTCCACCCACCCCTGCAACTTGGTTTATCATTCTTGGAAATAAGTTTATTTGCATAGTTCATCCTACTCTGGGGCATGGAATAGAATACAAGCTTTTCATATCTCATAAGAGAAAGAGACAGACCAAAGCTGAGCATGGGAACATTTGGCCAGGACCATTGAAACACAGCCAAAGGCACACTTGACTGCTTAAACTGAGGTCCAAAAGGTTACTTGCATTTAAATAGTGAAATATTGGTAGGGTGCCAGCAATCGTCTGTGGACTGTGTGTTTTTACTGTCAAGTTTTTTTCTGAGTTATATACAGAAATGATAACTGGGCAATAGTTGGGCTTCCATGTTTAGTACATTTAGGCACTTCTGTGCTTCTCACAGCTCTTGGTACCATACATTTTGTTTTTCTGGGCCTGAGTAAAAAGCAATCATAACACATAAATCAGAACTTGATGAATAAATGGCAGAGCTAAAATTTGAACCCTGGCCTAACATTGTTTAGAGCTGACTATAGGACACACACACCTCTGCTCTCCAGCACCTTGATTTTGGCCCCACCACCTAACCCCCTCCTGCTCTACTTTACCTTATGATGAGGGCATCCCAGACTATGAGGTTAAAAATCTGTACAACATTTTTTAAACCATAGCAGAATGCTACAAACCTGTATTGCCTTTTTGTCTTTATTAAGGTGTATGCCGATCTATTGGAGTAAGTAACTTTCTCATTGATCACTTGGAGCAACTCAGAGAAGACTGTCAGATAACCCCACATGTAAATCAGGTGAGTTTATTATGCTTATATAAGGAAACTAGTGTTACCCAGCATCTCTTGCCACTCTGTGAATTGGTGGCAAGATTTGTGTCAGCCTTTGTAATTCCTACACACACACACACACCTCTTGCCTCTAAAAGCCTTTGCAGACTGCCAGAAATAGTGCACATTAAATTGAGGCACTGCCCTGGCTCAGTGCTAGGGAATCATGGGAATTGTAATTTATTGTGGCACTAGAACTCTCTAACAGAGAAGGCTCAATGTCTCAGAAAAAAATACAATTCCCATGACGCCCTAGCACTGAGCCAGGGCAGTGCCTCAATTTAATGTGCACTATTTCTAGCAGTCTACAAAGGCCCTATAATTTCAAGTGACAGGGGTAGGTAGGAGAGTGGCTGAGGCCTAAAAGCACCAGATCCAGTCTGATCTTGGAAACTAAGCAGGGTCAGCTCTGGCTAGTACTTGGATGGGAGACTACCAAGCAATACCAGGTGCTGTAGGTTCTATTTCAGAGAAAGGAACTAGCAAAATCACCTCTGAATATTGCAAGAAAACCCTATGAAATTCATAGTCACCTTTAGTTAACTGGCAACTTGAAGGCACATTTAAATACCCAAGAGACTCGCTGATCCTTAACCATGAGATTCCTGCATCTGTCCCCAACCATACCAATTGTGGCCTCCTTTGCCATTTATAAACCTGCCTGTTAGCTTCAAGGTCTCTTTGGTGTGAACAATTATAATGAGTCAGGTGTAGTTGTCAGCTGTGAGTGAGCCAACATCTTGCATTTTGTCTCAGTAAAGGGAAAGCTGTTCGAGTGATTGTATGTCTGCCATTGCTATATCAAAGTCATTAGTTGAAGAAACACATTGTATGTAAATAATGTGACATCAAAGGGAACACTGGATCTCTGTGTGATGATTGGAGGGGGACTTTAAAGATGATGGTGCTCCACTATTAATGTGGAAAGGAGTGACCACACTCCTCTGCAAACTGTAAACTTGCCATAGAGAAGTCAAGAGCTTCAAAGGTTGAAGGAATGAATACATCTGCTGCTTGAATCTTGTGTCCCATCCAGCCCACAAG